GTGTCATGATCGAATGCAGATAGAAGTATCTCAAGAGAGCACTAGTTGCGCGGCGCGAGGAGCGCACACGCAATACAAAGACCAGTTCAGGGTGTCCATTCGCAGTGCGCAGCTTTTGAGTCCATCACCTGTAATTGCTGGCTAATGTCCAGTGTGAAGTCTTTAACAAATACCTAGCTCCTTGCGCCTTGACTTGAGAGACAGCTTTGCCTCGGGCACCCTGTGATATCGTGATTAGTCACACATTGAGTCAGCTTTGCGCGCGCGCGAGCATGTGTGAATCCAGAGACGCCCCCGACTAACTCTTTCACACTAACAACCATGGGCCGACACTGGAGTCACAATGCCCCGAGTCTACCCTTCTAGAGAGCACTGATTCCGCTATCATGAAGCCCACCTGACCACATACCTGACGAGCTTCCCTGTGTCTGGCGCTCGTTGTAGAACCGGCGTCTCCATACGCAGCACCAATGCGCATTGAGATCCCAGTCGCGACAGTCTCTTATGAGATCAGAGACTGCGCCGGGCCGTCACACGCACAGCCTGGTAGAGCCCGCCGCGACAGTCCTCCAGTCAGTTGTGCAATGGTTTAGTGTCGAGAATTCTGGGCGCGCGCGCGGACACATGAAGAATGGGATAGTACAATCAACAGGACAATCGGGAGGCGAGCGACATCGTTCTATAAAAAGTGTCAGGCGTAAGGGCGTGATGGCTTTGATATACAAAGGACATGTCCTAAACCTCGAAATCCATGAGAGTTACCAAGTCGACATTTATCTATATATCAACCGTGGGTACCTACTTCTGCTGGAGGTGCGGAGTATAACTAAGAGTGTAGCGGATCATGAGCGCGAAGAAGACAAGAAAGAATACAGCCGGGGAACAGAGGCCCTGGATCGCTACCCTCTCTCTAGACCAGGTTTTGGTGCTAGAGGCTAAGAGCAAGAAGAGCTATCTCTTTGTCTCTCAACGCACTGAGTGCGAGGTTCCAGGGAATTTTCTGCAGACAGTGACATCTTATCCTGTTGCCAGGCTGTTGTAGCCTTAAACTCCTGGATCCAGCAGACCTCCCTGCCTTAGGCTCCCTGAGTGAGACTGGGCCCTAAGGTTGCACCACCACACCAGCTTAATTTTAAATATATATATATTTATATTTTGTAGAAGATGGGGTCTCACTAATGTTTAGCTCAGGTGGTCTCTAAACCCTGGTCCTCAAGGATCCTCCTTGCCCTCTACCTCCCCAAAGTGCTAGGGACCTGACTGGCTTTTTTATATTTTAAATAATTGAAAATTAAGAAGAAAACAAAATATCAAGTCACATGGAAATTATATAAATTCAAAGTTCAGTGCCATAAGATAAGTTATTGGGACACAAGGTATGCGGCACACTCATTTGATATTGTGTCTTTGTGGGCTGTTTTCACACTACATGGCAGAGTTGGAATATGCTGCAACAAAGCTTGCAAGTGCGAAAAGTTTTCCTTCAGAAACAGTTTTTTGACTCGGGCAATCCTGCGTTGAAGCCACTGGCTGTTAAGGAGCACCACCGGCGCGAGGGCCTGCCCACCAGCAGGTTTTCCGAGAGCGTCTGTTCAATCCAGGTGGCTTTTCCCCAGGGAAAGGAGACACTAGCAATAATGACAGGAAAGGTGACGCCAGTGGAAGCAGTCGCATTTCCTCACAGTAAGAAGCACAGCTCCTCGATGGTCCACCGGTCAGCCTCGCTAGAGACGCCGATATACGCGAGTGTGACTTGCACACCTCGCGCTGTTGCTCTGACAACACTGGTGTGGAGAGCGACCACGTCAAGCAAGTGCAGTTCCCGCTGATATTATTAGCGACGCTCTGTCTCCAGAGAACACCACCCTTGGACAGACGACGGAAATGGAAAATGAGGGTTTCATTGACGTGTCTCTCGGTCGTGGTTTCTCTGAGAAGAGCGGCACGCACGGCTTTTGAGCACTGGCTTCAAGAGACGATAGTTAGCTTACATTGGTGCAGTCCAGTACCCACTGTTCTACAATCGAGAGGTTCCTTCAGAGTACAGTGCCCACAGAGATTCCTTGAGCGGTCTCAAGAGGCACCCTCTACGATCAAGCAGTATTGTGGCCTTCTCGTAGGCTGGTCGCGAGTATCTTCACACGACATGCTCATCAGTCTTAGGTAGAACCTTAGATAAGAACAGCACACATGCCCGGCATACCACTATTCTCTAATAGAGAACAGTGTGTGGACTCTTGCGCGCGACGGCGCGAAATACAGAGTGACACGCGCGCTCCGCCAATAAGCCCTCTAGCACCCCATTCAACATTTGTAACTAACACAACACTGCGACGATAACGCTTGAAGGGGCCATTTATGCCTCGGAACTGGAGGAGACAATATTTGGTGATCTGTTTTACTTCGCTAGACAGAGGACGGAGCAAGTGACGGGAATGTGGAACAGTCTTCGGTCTCTCCGCGTACAGGAGGTCTCCTTATTGCGCGCCGCGCTTACCGAGCAGGCGCCGTATGCGCAGCGCGCGCGTATTGAGCGCGTCTCGGAATTCCGCAGAGACCAGCCTGAGAAACAACATAGCGAGACCCGTCTCTAAAAAAAAAAAAAAAAAATGAAAAAAATTAGCTGGTATGGCTAGTGGCACATCTATACCTCAGCTGGGCTCCAGGAGGCCTGAGGCCTGAGAGGATTGGGCTTGAGCCCAGGAGTTTGAGGTTGCAGTGAACTGTGATTGTGGGGCGCACTGCACCTCCGCCCTGATGAGCAGGAGTGAGTACGTGCAGTGTCTCTAAAAAAGAAGAAAGTGAGATGGGAAGATAAGCTTCCTGGCCCTAGAAAGTATGGTGCTTATGTATCTTCTCCCATCCAAACATAGAATGGTGTAATAGAGATAAAATTCAGAGCGCTAAAGATTTAAACCCTGGTTACAAGTAATGTGAAGCCTGACTTTCGCATTAGGGCTCATGTTACTCCCTTATAAGGCCATTGATTAAATGCTGTGGAACAATTTTTTTTTTTTAATGGAGGTATGAGTCCTTGCATCCTGTTGGCCCTAGCTTAGAGTGCGGCATGGTGTCATAGCTCACTGCAATCCCAACTCCTGGGCTCAAGTGATTCCCTGCTCCCTCTTGGGTAGCTGGCATACAAGACCCATTCCCCTGCCTGGCTAATTTTTTCTATCTTTTTGGTAAGAGACAGGATCTTGGGCTCCTTGCTCAGGCGGTCTCAAACTCCTGACATATACAAGCATACTCTCTCAGATCCTAGGAGTTGACAGGCATGCGCTACCCCGGCTGCGGCTTGGCCAGGACTGATTAATATATATAGCAGACTTACAAGTTAGTGATGGGGCAATGGAAGGGGACATGGAAGTTTGGGAAGAATCAATCAGACAGCTTTACAAAGGAGGTACAGTTAATCCAATGCTCACCACCATGAGTAGTGACTTAATCCATTGAAGCAGGGTAGGGGCTTGTTTGTACAGTGAGAATAAGGGGTAT